GTATCAACTTGACCTATTTACTCAAGTAAAAGTGAAAAAGTATGTGCTCCAAAAAATACTTTAAGTATAAAAGTATAAAATAACCTTTAAAAAAACAGCAAGATGCCACTATATGAACTGAAAGCTCAATTTTACGACTATTTCGAAGAAAATCTTTGAGGCAAATTTGACGAATAGCTAACCAGTGAGTGTTTTCGTTATTTGACTCATCCAATTACACTAGTTTTCACTACGTGTGGATGGTGCCATTGATCTGCATTGGATGGGGCACATGAGGGGAAATAAATATTTATAAACATTAAACTGAAGCCAAAAGTAACAAGTAACGTTTGTTGTAAAAACGTAAGGAATAGAAAGTACAGATACTTGTGTGAAAATTTAATGAGTAGAAGTCAGAAGTAGGGATAAAAATAAGTAATGGAGTAAAGTATAGATAGCTAAAAAGTGTACTTAAGTACAGTTATGAAGTATTTGTACTTTGTTACTTGACACCTCTGCAAACCACTGCATCAAACTCACCTTATTAATTTTTTTTTTGCACCATGTTTTTTTCTCCCAAACTGTTTAAATTTAAAAACTGCTGCACTTTAAGAAATGGAAATGTCATGAAAGCTGCACAAAACCAAATCTCATTTTGTATACACTCTGTGTGTACAAAATGACAATAAAAGTTGTCTATGTCTACCATACATCAAATGGTGACAGTTGTTTTAAATTATAAAACGTCTCTTTTTAGATAATCTTCAGACATACTTACCCAAAAAATGTATATAACCCCCAAACAATAAGAAATACTCCCTTTTATGAAAGCTGTAACACTTTATAGTGTACAAAAAATGTGTTGCTTTCATCAAAAGAAAATGAGTTAATTAGGTACAATTACCCTTTTACTACAATAACTATGATTGAAGTCATTCTCAGTGCATTTTATCCAGTTAATAAATCTCACAGACGAGGCATTGCTGAAACAAGGCCGTTCAGTTGACCTGTCAAAATAAATCAAAACACATCTTAGCCTGAAGGTAATAGAGTCAGCTATTAGTAGCATCAACATCCCATTACTGATCTGCACATCACGTTTCTTTGTGATTCTTAACATATGTGTAATTGAAAATATATAATACATTAAAAATTTGTTACATGTTGAAATTAAAATAGTTCACCAGGTTGCATTTGTTTTTTGTCTAAATTAGTCACAAATTATAGTGATCTTAGCTAACTAACTCTGACATTACTGATTAGAATGCAATACAACGACTTCAGGTGCAGAACGTGCAAAGATGCCCGACACAATCCAGCACATCACTGCCTGGTGTAAGATGCTGGCAGGGAAAGCTTACATGGAGCGCCATAACCAAGTGGCTGGAATAGAATACAGGAACACCTGTGCAGAATATGGGCTGGAAACCCAAAGGTCACAGTGGGAAACGCCTCCAAAGATGGTAGAGAATGATCGAGCCAAGATCCTGTGGGACTTTCAGGTACAGATGGAACCGAATGGTAATGGCAAACCAAACGGACATGTGGTGGTGGATGAAAAGCAGAGGAAAGCCGTTGTGGTTGCCATCGTAAGCCTAAGCATGCTTGTAGCAACAGTGGAGAGGAAAAACTCCCTTTTAACAGGAAGAAAACCTCCAGCAGAACCAGGCTCAGTGTGAGCGGCCATCTGCTGAGGCTCACTGGGGTTCAAGGAGACAGAAGCAGACAGAAAAAGCAACTGTAAAAGGCGGCCCTATCCAGGAAACACACAGCCAGGCAGACGAGCTCCGAGCGAGAGAAACAGGACTACACTGGAAAACAAGCTGATCTCCAACATCTAGAAACAAAGGTGTTGATGGCAGCAGCACAGCTGATATTTCTCTCCAGGATGGAGTCACAGCCAAACAGGAACAGACCAGATGAAGCTACTATGGAGAATAGAGATAGAATGAAGCAGAAGGATGAAAAAGGGGTCCCTATGTCCTCCAGCAGTCTAAGCCTATAGCAGCAGAACTATAGAGATAGCTCAGGATAACCTGAGCCACTCTAACTAGAAGCTTTATCAAAAAGGAAAGTTTTAAGCCTAGCCTTAAAAGTAGACAGGGTGTCTGCCTCACGGACTAAAACTGGTAGTTGGTTCCACAGGAGAGGAGCCTGAGAACTAAAAGATCTGCCTCCCATTCTACTTTTAGAAATTCTAGGAACCACTAGTAAACCTGCAGATTGAGAGCGAAGTGCTCTGTTAGGAACATAAGGAACAATCAGATCTCTGATATCAGATGGAGCTTGGCCATTTAAGGCTGTATATGTGAGAAGGAGGATTTTAAATTCTATTCTGGATTTAACAGGAAGCCAATGAAGAGAAGCCAGGATAGGAGAGATATGATCTCTCTTTTTCATTTTCATCAGAACTCTGGCTGCAGCATTTTGGATCAGCTGAAGGCTTTTAACTACAGTCACAGCTATTGTGAACATTACATTTTTATCCACTATATTTGGCAGACTTGGTCGTGGCACAATATTCAAAACTCCCTGCAATTACAGACTCTTATTCCGCTACAGCATTTTAAATCACTATTGAAAACCGCTTGCACAGAGAATTCTAACTGTTATTCTAAAGTCTAGTTTATGATTGATTTTATTATGTTGTTTTTATGTGTTTTTATATGTCTTATTGTACTGCTGCCTCTTGGCCAGCTGTCCCTCGAAAAAGAGATTTTATTTCAAGGGACTTCCTGGTAAAATAAAGGTAAAATAAATAAATTGAGCTTTCATCATAGGTTAGCAACACTGTTCTTTTAACTGTTTTATTGGCTATGTCCATGTCTGTCCCCGCTCGCTAACACTGCTTCCAAACGGGGCAAACCAGTTTGATTTACTTTGCATTTCAGAGATTTTACTTTGTACTTTCACAAATCGGATGTTTTTTACTCTGCCATCATGTCTGCTTTCCAGTTTACTCATGATATTGCGATAAAATTGCTGCATGAATCCAGCCAAACTGGACCAGGGGTCTACCTCGAGCAGAACTATACCAGAACACACCAGAAGTGTGAATTTTCAATGAGTTTTAAATATCACGATCACCTTACAAAGCAGAAACGTTACCGTATTTTACATGTTTTGCATCAAACAATTTACTTAACACTACCTCAACTACAACTGTAAACCTCTATATCGTGCTTTTATGCCCTCATGCTCCTCTAATTTGTTGGCATTTACCTAATTTTAAGGTGGAGATTCATTTATTAATAGCATAGGCTCCCTCTCTTCATTCCCCTTTACTGCTCCTCCTTCTTCCAAAAGAGGGGATTTTGTTTGTCCTGCAGCTCCTCCCTGGACAATGGGGGCCCTGGACTTTAAACAATGGCTCCCACGTCAGAGCCTACTTACTATACAGAGATTTTGTGGGACAGATTCCCGGAAACAGCGACAGGAGTTTTTGGCAAGGCTTCAACTTCCTGAACATGGTAGAAGGCTGCAAAATAAAACAAGGGAGGGTGAGGGGGGGTAGTGGAGGGAGTTAAAGGAGGAAGGAGGTGTCTGAGAGGGAAGGCCGAAGGGCTACATGGTGGAAATTTTAACAAAGCTTGTAGAGTGAAGGATCCTGTCTGAATAGGGAAAAGTGGCGGGGATAAATTAATTGTTGAACTTACTGATTCAGGGAATTAGAAAGATTTTTCTTTGTGTTTAGACTAAACATTAAGAGAATGTTTAGTCTGGATTTGAGCTTCACAATTACAGGCGAATAGACAGGAGTGAGCTTATGCTGAAAAGGGGAATCCAAAGGTAGTGACCTCCACTCAGAGAGACGTCTTGCTGTGGCTGGAGCCGATTAGGAGCTGATAAGACGTGCAGATA